TTTAAAAGGTAGGGGTCATCAGCATAGAGTTGGTATTTAAGTCATAAAACTAGAAAGGCCCCAGGGAGAGAGAAAGGAGGGAGGAAGGCCAAGGCCTTAGCCCTGCCATTCTCCAACAGTAAGAGATCAAGTGAAAGAGGAGGAACAGGGAGGAGGCGTGAGAAGCAGCAGCCAGCAAGGAAGGAGGAACCAGGGCTCCTGGAAACTAGTGAAGAGAGGAGGAGGGAGGGGACAAAGTTTGCCAATAAATAGGTCTGGGGGAGGGGTGGCACCTGGGGCTCAAAAGGGTAGGGTGCCAGTCCCATATGCCTGAGGTGGCGGGTTCAAACCCAGTCCTCAGCCAAAAATGGCCAAAAAAAAAAGAAGGTCCAGGGGAGAAGGGCTGAGAATTGACTCTTAGATTTAGCAACACAGTGGCCATCCATGACCTTGACAAGCAAAGTTTTGGTGGGAGTTGGGGAGACAGCCTGTGAATCAGAACAGGAGTGAGGATCTAGAGGCAGAGACTTTTGTCAGCTATTTCCTGAAATTTTGAAGCTAAAAGAACCAAAGAAATGGGGCAGTAGGCAGTGTCCAGGGAGTGGAGTGGGGGATTGAGGCCAGAGGTTTGTAATGATGGAGAATAACTGCCTGTGTGTCCTGATGGGAATTTTGACCATGGAGCAACAAAGGGGAGACTCAGAGCAATGGCCAGAAGGGAGTGGAGGGGGTCACACACCTGGGAAGGCACAGCTTTAGTTGGGCACGGGGTTATTTGTCTATACTGACAGGTGGAAAAAGAGACACCGGTACAGAAACTTATCTGAGAGCTTCTTTTTTCTCAGTAAAGCAAGAAGCTGAGAATTTTAGGAAGATTGCGGGTGGGGGGGAGGCAATGAGGAGAGAAGAGGAATGGTTGTTTGGGAGAAAGAATGAATGGCTTCAGCCTGGCAACACAAATCAGATGTTTCTAGTTTGTGGTTATAAATTTAAAGTGAGACCAACCTGATACAGTAGCTCATACCTGCAATCCCAGGGACTCGGGAGACTGAGGCTGGAAGATGGCTTGAAGCCAGGAGTTTGAGACCAGCCTGGGCAACATAGTAAGACCCCCCCATCTCTGTTAAAAAAAAAGAAAAATGTGGGATCAGTGCCTATGCTCAGTGGTTAGGGCGCCAGCCATATACACTGGGGCTGGCAGGTTTGAACCTGGCCCAGGCCTGCTAAACAACAATGACAACTACAACAAAAAATAGCTGGGTGTCGGCGGCACCCCTGCTCAGTGGGTAGAGCCCCAGCCACATACACCGAGGCTGGCAGGTTCAAACCCAGACCCGGCCTGCTAAAACAACAATGACAACTGCAACAAATAGCCAGGCATGTGGCAGGCGCCCATAGTCCCGGGTACTTGGGAGGCTGAAGCAAGAGAATCTCCTAAGCCCAGGAGTTTGAGGTTGCTGTGAGCTGTGACACCACAGCACTCTACCGAGGGCAACATAGTAAGATTCTGTCTCAAAAAAAAAAAAAAATGTGAGACAGGTTGTGCATCTTTCTCTAGCCATCATCTATGTTCAGCTGCGTGGTGCAGACACAGAATAGATAGAGGGTGGATTCAACCAGGGTTTCTGGCAGAGGAGTGTGACAGAGCCAGAGGGCTGACCTGCCTCTGCCTTTGGCTGGACCTGGGTGTACCTGTGTGTCTTTGTAGATAAGAGCAGATGGCACTCGCAGGAGAGGTCTGTGCTTCTCTGGGTGTGTTTATGTCCTGTGGTTGTCAAGGACTACAACTGGGCTATTTTGTGTGTTCTCAGTATCTTTCCATATCTGTGTGGATTCCTCTCTGTGACACAGTGACTGAGTCTCTGCAAATGTGTACAATCCTGTGTGCAAACATGTCAGAGTGGATCTGTGTCTCTCTGTGCACCTGTGTGGTGTCCATACCCATGTATCTCCCTATCTGCAGGTGTGTGTCTGTGTGACTCTGGATGGTGTAGGACTCCATGTTTGTGTACCTCACGGCTCTCTACACACCTGTGTGTCTACATGCCGGTGTATCTGTGCATCTCAATGGACAGTGAGTCTCTGTATTTGTGTGCTGTGTGTATCTATGTGCTTGTCTCCCCCTCAGGTGCTGTAATGTGAGAATTTCAGATGTCGACCCCAGACCCCTATCCTGCCCAGACTCCTGTTACCTCCATGCCCCCAGTGCTGACTTGCAGCCAAGAACAACTATATTGGCAGGCAAAGCTTTGGCCTTCAAACCAACTCCTATGCTAAGGGTACCCTGGGGCTCTGATTTTGGACACGTTGACAACAGGCTCTGCTCTATACAAACAAAATATACAAACAAAACAACCACCAAGTTTCAATAAGGGGGAAGAAAATTTGCACTGGAACCACAGACCAAGAATGACCCTGTGGGCCTTCAATTCAGAAGGGCAGGGTCAGGGAGATGCTGACCTCAGGTATCCACATTCATCTCCTCCAGGAAACAGAGCCAGTTCCCCTACCAGGAGGCTGGTCTTCCTCTAGGAAGAAACAGTGGGGACACAGTGGCCCTAGGTCAATGGGCCTGGAGTTAATCATCTACTCAGGGTATCCCTGGGCCCCATTGGCTGCCTAGGACACAGCCCTCTGGGATGAAGCCCAAAGGAGTCAGATGCCTCTTCCCAGCCAGCATCTGCCCCCACAAGCTCAAGGGAAATGGCCTATTGCAGTTGGCACCAAGCACTGGTCCCTCTGGAAGCTCCCAGGCTGAGAAGGAAGACACAGCCCTGCCCTCAGGGAGGTCCAGTCTGGGATCCCTAAGAAGAGAGTGGCTAGGGAGGGTGGGGACTCAGATTATGAGTTTGGACAGACAGCTAGGAAGGGGATGGACATTTGAGATTTGGGCGCTGAAGGTGAGAAAAATTTGGAGAGGAAAACTATTATGCCCCAGGGTCTGAGACCACCGCTGGTGGATTCTGAGAAGTATCCTCGGGAAGAAGGCGGTAAAGAGGAAAGAGGCCCTGGAGGTGACGTCAAAGGGATGGGGGTACAGACTCTTCATACCATTGCTTCATGCCTTAGTCCCTGCCTTGAAGCCCAACATTTCTTAGTAGAAAAATGGAAAAACCAATGAGTCAGGCACAGGTCAGCTTCCTCCTCCTGCATCTCCTTCTTGGGACAGTGTGTACATGCGTTGGTCTGTACACACTACCCCAGCACCCCCTGGAATACTCAGAAGAGAAGCTCTCCATTTAGGCAGAGCCCAGGAGTCCTGATTCCTGGCATGGAGAACACAAAGTCCCATGTAAGGAAAGAAAGAGCTGGAGGTGGGAACTTAGAATTCCTAGGGTCTGGCCCTAACACTGACAAGCTGTGTGACCTTGGCTACGTCACCTCCCCTACACAAAGGAGAGGGCCCTATTTCTTTTCTTTCTTCTTCTTTTTTTTTTTTTTTTTTAGAGACATAGTCTCACTTTGTCTCCCTCGGTAGAGTGCTGTGGCATCATAGCTCACAACAATCTCTAGCTCTTGGGCTTAGGCGATTCTCTTGCCTCAGCCTCCTGAGTAGCTGGGACTACAGGCACCCACCACAACGCCTGATTATTTTTTGTTGCAGTTTGGCCAGGGCCGGGTTGGGGCCAGCGCCCTCCTCACTGAGCCACAGGCGATGGCTGGTGGAGAGGGCCCTATTCCTCCTCTAAAACAAAGAGTCAGACTGGATAAGAGTGTACCTGAGAGCAGGATGTGAACAGACAATGGTCTTAGGTTGGTAACATAGTATTAAGTAACATTGAATCACATCCTGTGAAAGTTTCCAGTCTTTCAAGTCCTTTCCAAATCTTGCTTAAGAGCATGGACCTGCACTGGGACACAGTGGCTAACGCCTATAATCCTAGCACTTGGGAGGACAAGGCGGGTGGATTGCCTGAGCTCACAGGTTCAAGACCAGCCTTAGCCAGAGTTGAGACCCTGTCTCTAAAAATAGCCAGGCTTGGTTCAGCGTCCAAGCTCAGTGGTTAGGGCACCAGCCACATACACCAACGCAGGTGCATTCCAACCCTGCCTGGGCCTGCTAAACAACAATGACAACTACCAAAAAATAGCTGGGTGTTGTGGCAGGCACCTGTAGTCCCACTACTTAGGAGGCTGAGGCAAGAGAATTGCTTAAGCCCAAGAATTTGAGTTTGCTGTGAGCTGTGACTTCACAGCACTCTACCAAGGGCGACAAAGTGAGACTCTGTCTCAAGAAAAAAAAGAGCATGGACCTGGTGGCTCCGTTGTTACTCCCAGCACTCTAGGAGCCTGAGGTGGGGGGATCCCTTGAACTCAGAAGTTCCAGACCAGCCTGAGTTAAGACTGAGGCCCTCGTCTCTACAAAAAATAGAAAGTGCCTGCAGTCACTTGGGAAGATTAGGAGGAAGACTTGCAGTCATTTGGGAGGATTAGGAGGGAGACTTGCTTGAGGACAGACAGCTCGGACAACTTAGCAAGACTTCATCTCTAAAAAAATGAAAACAAAACATAAATTAAACAACAAAATTTCTCTAGGTAGTCCCCAGTAGCTGGAATTCGGCAAACTAAGTATCATTCTAATCCTCTCTCAGCTCAGTCAACAGCAAGGCTGGCACTCCTCCTCCTTACTTCTGCTCTTCCCCCAACTTTTCATTCAACGCCTCCCTGAGGCATGTGCTAACTGCTACCTGCTCTCCCTTCTTACCCTAGTCAGAGTCCCCTTTAATCATTCAAGACTCCGAAGACTCCCAAAGCCACCCATGGGTGGGCTGAGCCTTTCCTGGAACCTGCCTTGGCAGCAGATTAAAGACACCCCGCCACCCTTAATCACAGCCTCATGACTCTAGATAGCGGGTTCAGTCCCTCCAGGGGCAGAGATCCTGGTGGCTCCACCCACTGACCTGTGGCCTGACCCTCCTTAAATGCACCCAAGAGGCGACTGCCGGCCCCCTTCCTGGACCCCGCCCCGGCTTGATCCAGCCCCGCCCCGCTGCAAGTTAAGAGCCCCCCGGTGCCGGACGCTCCAGAAGGCTGCCACTCTTGGTGGGGGCGGGTCAAGAGGATTTAGTTGTCGTCATGGCGACGGCTCGGATGGCCGCAGTCCTTCGGGCCGCGACTGTGGGCAGGAGGCTGCGCGGCTCCCGAGGCACTGATGGCGCCCGGAGGCTGAGCGGTACCGCGCAGCGGCGGGCGGCGGGGAGCGCCAGCCCGGGGCGCCAGCTCAGCACAGCCTGGGCGCAGGCCCAGTCCCCGCGGGAGGAGGCAGAGGAGCCATCGTGGGCGCCGACTCCCGCGCCCCCAGTGGTCTCTGAGTCCTCTGAGCCTCCCGCTGGCCGCTCGCTAGTGCAGCGGGACATCCAGGCCTTCCTGAACCAGTGCGGGGCCAGCCCGGGAGAGGCGCGCCACTGGCTCACGCAGTTCCAGACCTGCTATCATTCCGCGGACAAGCCCTTCGCCGTCATCGAGGTGAGCACAGCATTGGCTTTGTCACGGCAAGGGGATGGGGGATGTGTGGAGACCTTTCGTCAGGCCTGGCAGCAACGGCTGCACACTGAGCAGCGGAAGAGAAGGGTCTCGAAAGAACCTAGACAAGTGCTAGGGATGGGTGAGGTTATGTGCTCCGCCAGAAGCCTCGCACCAGCCTGAGTGAGCTTAGGGACCTCAACTCGTCAGGTGGGATGCTCTGTAGGCACCCCACCGTGGGCGCAGTTAGTGGTCCAGAAAGATCTGGACTGGAGTCGCTTGCATTATCCCTGGCCCCAAGGTGTTCCAGAGTCCAAGGTCGAAGGGAGGAGTGGAGGGAGGAACTCTAATATGAGATAAGGGAGTGGGAAGACCCAATGGGGCAAAGGGCGGAGCAAGTGGGCACCACTGGCCAGAAGCGGGGCCTAATAGCTTCCTGTGAAGGGTGGAATCACCTAAGCGACCCGAGAGCCAGGCTGTGGGACTAAGTGCCTCAGGGCAGTGTCACACACACACCCCCCATCGAACATCTCCTCCTCCTTAGGTGGACGAGGAAGTGTTCAAGTGCCAGCAAGCTGTATCCAGCCTGGCCTTCGCCCTGGCCTTCCTGCAGCGCATGGACATGAAGCCTCTGGTGGTCCTGGGGCTGCCCACCCCCACGGCGCCCTCCGGCTGTCTTTCCTTCTGGGAGGCCAAGGCGCAGCTCTCCCAGAGCTGTAGGGTGCTGGTGGACGCTCTGCGACACAACGCTGCCACTGCAGTGCCTTTTTTTGGCGGTGGGTCAGTGCTGGGCGCTGCTGAGCCAGCTCCTCATGCCAGGTTAGTGCTGGCCCTACCTGCCCCGGCATTCTCAGTGCTCGCTACTCCGCCAGTCCTGCCCAGTCCGGCGGTCCTGGAGGGTCCCCCTCTCGAGCACCACGTCTGGCCCACAGCTACGGCGGCATCGTCTCGGTGGAGACTGACTTGCTGCAGTGGTGTCTGGAATCGGGTAGCATCCCCATCCTGTGTCCCATCGGAGAGACCGCCGCGCGCCGCTCAGTGCTTCTCGACTCGCTGGAGGTGACAGCGTCTCTGGCCAAGGCGCTGCAACCCACCAAAATCATCTTCCTCAATAACACAGGCGGCCTACGAGACACCAGACAAAAGGTGCGCGCCCCTACCCTTGGCACACTCCCCTCGCTAGTATGGGCCTGCCTGTCTGAGCACCCTCTCTGGAGCACCTCGCACTCCTCCCTGACTGGCCGCACGCAGAGTCCCAAGCAAGCTGGGTGGGTAGGAAAGCCGAATGGAGCTCCGGGAAGGGAAGCTAAGGGCAAGATGGCCAGAGAGAAGTCAGTGGAGCAGGCCTGGGAGTCAGGGGAGCCGTCTGTGGCCGGCTATGGGCTGGAGGCTCATCCTCTCGCTCTGAACGCAGGTCCTCAGTAACGTGAACCTGCCCGCCGACCTGGACCTGGTGACCAACGCCGAGTGGGTGAGCACCAAAGAACGGCAGCAGATACGGCTCATCGTGGACGTACTCAGCCGCCTGCCTCACCACTCCTCGGCTGTCATCACTGCCTCCAGCACGCTGCTCACTGAGCTCTTCAGCAACAGAGGTGAGGATCACCGGTGGGCAGGGGCTGGGTCTCGGGAGTGACCCTTCCCCACCGGTCCGGAAGCCACAGGGGGACATCACCACAATAGCTTCCAGCTCCTGCCCAAACCTAGTGGAGATGAGAGAGGAGGAGAAGGACCTCACTAGGATGGAATTTGGGTGGAAGAGGTGGGCGGGGCTTGAGCGGGTGGGCAGGCCTATGGATGGGCGGGGCTTGTGCGCGAGACCAGGCGGGCTGTACTAGATTAAATGTGGGAGATAGGCGGGTGGGTGGGACCAGGGGCGGCGAGGATGGATAGTGGGAGACAGGCAGGGTTAAGGAAAATAGGTGGGGAAAAAAAAAAAAAGAGGCTCGGCGCCTATAGCTCAACCGGCTAAGGTGCCAGCCACGTACACCTAAGGTGGCAGGTTCGAATCCCCAGCCCGGACCCGCCAAACAACAATGACGGCTGCAAACAAAAAATAGCTGGGCGTTGTGGCGGGCACCTATGGTCCCAGCTACTTGGGAGGCGGAGGTAGGAGACTCGCTTGAGCCCAGGAGTTGGAGGTTGCTGTGAGCTGTATGCCACGGCACTCTACCCAAGGGGACAGCTTGAGGCTCTGTCTCAAAAAAAAAAAAGAAAGAAAGAAAGAAAGTAGGTGGGACTACAGGCGATGGGCAAGACTTGGGGGAGCAAACTCCGACTGGGAAAAGCATCTCCTTGAGTGAAAAACATGAATACGCAACAGAAAGCACTTCATTGCGGATGTCTCCCGGAGAGGGAACTCAGACCGCCAGCCCCTGCCCTACTTGCAGCCCCCACCGGGCGGCACGACGTAGGAATAGGTGGGGCCGGGCTCCCCGGCTTAACCTTCCCCTCCTGCCCCATCTCTGTGGCAGGGTCCGGGACCCTGTTCAAGAACGCCGAGCGGATGCTGCGAGTACGCAACCTGGACAGCCTGGACCAGCGCCGTCTAGTGGGCCTGGTCAACGCCAGCTTCGGCAAGAAGCTCCGGGACGACTACCTGGCCTCGCTGCGCCCGCGGCTGCACTCCATCTACGTCTCTGAGGGGTTAGCCTGCAGGCCCCAGAGGGCGGAGTCCGAGGGACACAGGTAGCTTTGGGACAAAGAGAAGTCCCAGCCTGCCTCTCTCCTGATGTACCAGGTACAACGCGGCAGCCATTCTGACCATGGAGCCGGTACTTGGGGGCACTCCGTACCTGGACAAATTTGTGGTGAGCTCCAGTCGTCAGGGCCAAGGCTCCGGCCAGATGCTGTGGGAGTGCCTGCGGCGGGACCTGCAGACGCTTTTTTGGCGGTCTCGGGTCACCAACCCCATCAATCCATGGTACGTCCTGCCCCTCCCAGCTCTGGACTGGGTCCCACCCTCCCTCTCCTTTCCAGCCTTTGCCAACCATGCCCCTAGGTTCACCAGCTGAGAAGGCCTCCCTCCTCCAAGGAAAGGCCCTGCCCAGTGTCACCCTAGTGACATGTCCCAGGGTGCAACCCACAGGGAGTCTGGGATTTCCCTAGAGGTAGACCACACCTAACTCTGCTTTCCTTAAAGCAAGTGGCACCTCCTAAGCCTCACACATCCTAAAATCCTTCTGGCTCTATTCCAGGCCCTTACACCTCCAGTGGAACTCCGCCATTCTCCCCTCTTCCTTTTGCAGCTAGCCCCTCATCCCTTATCACTCAGCTATGTGGGCAATAAGAAGTGCACAAGAACCCTCCCCTCTGCTGCACAGGCAGGGTGGAGAGAGCAAGGAACGTCCTCACTCTGACCTTCCTAGCTCTATGATTCTGGCAAGTTATCTAATTTCTCTGAGCCTTAGCTGCTTCTATGAAGTAACAATACCAGACTCAAGCCCCTGCCGTGAGGATAAAATAACAGGTCCTGGATGGGTACATAGCAAGTAGTAGGTCCTCAATAAATGATTTTACAAAAACAGAATCTGCATGGTGGCTCATGCCTGTAATCTTGGCACTCTGGAAAGCCAAGGCAGGTGGATTGCCCGAGCTCAGGAGTTCAAGACCAGCCTCAATAAGAGTGAGACCCCATCTCTATTAAAAATAGAAAAACTAGCTGGGTATTGTGGCAGGCATCTGTAGTCCCAGCTACTCAAGAGGGTGAAGCAAGAGGAGCTCTTGAGCCCATGAGTTTAAGGTTGCTGTGAGCTATGATGATGCCAGGGCCACTGAGTGAGACTCCATTTCAAAAAAAAAAGCCAGAATCAGCTAATAGTGAACACTGAACTCTGGCCTTACTCTAAAAGCTGCTTTCACTTAACTGCCCCCAACCCAGGTACTTCAAGCACAGCGATGGCAGCTTCTCCAACAAGCAGTGGATCTTCTTCTGGTTTGGCCTAGCAGATATCCGGGACTCCTATGAGTTGGTCAACCATGCCAAAGGGCTGCCAGACTCCTTCTGCAAGCCAGCTTCTGACCCAGGCAGCTGACCCTCACCATAGACCCTGCAGGCCCTGGGACAGCCAGGGTGGACCAAAAGCCATGCCCTGAGGGTGACCCCAGGCAGCCATAGGCTGAAAGGGGCTCATTGGCTGAGGGATATGTAGAGGAATCAGCAGCCTTGGCTCTACCAAGAGTGGTGCCCAAGTGGGACAAGCACAGGAAGAGGGGTGCCCACCTAAGCCCACTTGCCCCAAAGCCACAAGCAGATGGCTTCAATATTTAACCTGGGAATGGGGGTGGGGGGTGCAGTGGTGCCTTCCAGGGCTATTCTCAGGGCTAATATGAAGAGTGGGCCAGATTTCTGTGGCCTCTGTGCTGTGTTTTGAGACTCTCTTCCCCCAAATATCACCCCTGCCTGCCTGATATTCTACCACTCATTTTAATTCCTTGGGGTCTTGCAGTGATTTTCCAGGAGGCATTGATTAAAACAAATACCTATCTAAGAGTCAGCTCACAGTTGAAAGGAAATTAGAGTTACCCTCTGGACTAGGATCTTGAGGGCTGGGGACTAGGGGGCTTCTGAGGAAGTGAAGGAGCTAATGAGATGGAGGGTCCCAGGATGACTTGCCTGGGTGTCAGCAGACCTGAGGGGCTTCCCATCCCTAGGCCATTCCACAGACCAGGCAACAGCAGCCTAGCTCCTTCCCTGTGGGTGCCTTCATTCCCACAGTTCCCTTTCCAGGCAAGGCTCAGGGCCAAGCCCAGACAGGTGTAGGTCATCATTCACCTTCAAGAACTACAGCTAGAGCTGCTTCTGGGGCTACACTTTTTGTCACAGGTGCAAGGACAAGAAGGGACACATTCAATGAAGAGACCATCAAGGCAAAGCCGGGGCAGTGATAGAACCCAAGAACAGCCTCTGTCTTCCTCCAGGGAATGGGTCATGTTGAGTACACATCTGGGCTTGGGTATGAGATAGGCCTGACCTGGAATCCAGCTGTGCTAGTCTGGATTTGCTCTGTGGCTTTAGGAAAACTGTTCACCTTCTCTGAGCTACCATTTCCTCATGTGTAAAATGTAAAACACTCAGCTTCATAATGGACACTTAATGCTAGTTCTCTCTAGCTGCTCTCACCAAAGATTTCTTCAAAAGTACAAGTGCCAAATGGGGAGGAAAAGACAAGTTACAAGAGGGGTTGGGGTAAGAGAGCAAAAGCATATAGTACTGTGAGGATTTTGAGAGTCTTAAAAAGAGCCAAAGATCTGTGGGAAATCCAGGAACAGGGGAAAAGTCATGAGGAGGACCAAGGTGGAGCTTAACTAGATATGGTCTTTCAAGAAACCCAAGATCTGAGCCAGCGGCATAGTGCCCAGGAGAACAATGAAACAAAACCAAATGTCTATATAAAATGTTTATTTTTGGAGGACTGTGTGGTCTGGTGTTTGGAAGGGCATTCCACCCCCACCAGGCCAACCACAGAACTAGAGACAGAGGTGGCAATGGGGGAAAAACTGGCCACTGCCTGCTTCACCCCTGCATAGTCCAGAGCAGACCAGGTCCTGCTCTGCTGTCAAGGTAGGTGACAGAAAGCTGATACTGTTTCTGCCCCAGCATATCCTGAGAACCCACGTGACTTCTGTGGTGCCCAGGCCCTCTGCTCCTCCTGGGCCTGATGTACATGTGTCGAGTTTCCAAAGACTCGAGTCTCTGGAAAGCACAGCAGAGCCTGCCTGCATCTGCCAGGTTAAAAAAGGAATTTTTCACATTTGCTCACTTCTGATCTCCATCATCCTTCTTTGTCTCCTACTCTTAGCACCCACACCCCTGGCCACCTAATTCCCTTCCAGGGCCAGGAGGCCCGGGGAGCAGCTGGCCTCAGCTCTCCTAATAAACAGAAAAAAGAAAAACCTGTGAGGCATTAGTGCCAGGGCTAATCTTCCCAAGGGTCAAGCCCAGGAACTTGGGAAAAAGACCTGCCTCTTAACAATGCAAAAAAAAAAAAAAAAAAAAA